AACAAAGAACCCAAAACAAAGCCTCTCCCCTCACCCAGATTTGAAAGTATCTTTTGTCCCCGTTGGTTCCTTTGGTCAGATGCCAACCAGGATATTTGAGCTGCTTAACCCCTTACAGGTGAGGAGAAATTTTAGGCTACCCTTATGGTTATGACAACTTGCAACCCCTCCCAGCTTGGTATCTTCCACAGACTTTTTATAAGTGTACTCTCTATGCCATTATCTAAATCATTGATGAAGATATTGAACAGAACCAGACCCAGAACTGATCCCTGTGGGACCCCACTTTCCTTCCAGCATGACTGTGAACCACTGATAACTACTCTGGGAACAGTTTTCCAATCAGTTTTACACCCACCTTATAGTAGCTCCATCTAGGTTGCATTTTCCTAGTTTGTTTATGAGAAGGTCATGCGAGACAGTATCAAAAGCTTTACTAAAGTCAAGAAATACCACGTCTGCCGCCTCCTCCCTATCCACAATTCTTGTTACCCTGTCAAAGAAAGCTATTGGGTTGGTTTGACACAATTTTTTCTTGACAAATCCATGCTGACTGTGAGATGTGACATTCCACTCCCCACAAAGCTGCACCATCATGGGATTACAGTGGTTAAGTGAGAAATCCCTTTCTGTGTTCAAAATTATCCTGATTTACTGAATAAAGACCTGAGAGGAGCTAGATTGCTCCTATAATACTTGGATGCTAGCTATCCTGGGGGAGCAGGCAGGCAACCTTTCATGTTCCTGGGGACATCTAGCAAGCTGCTTCTACAATTGAGTTGAGGTATTTGTATCAGTATCCCTCCGCAGCTGAGTAGTCCTCCAAGACAGGATCAGTAGCATGCTATCTCCCCCATGTAAACAGCCTGGGGAAGTACCACATGCACCACCACGTGCAAGACCGGACAAGAGGATAGTGGCTTGCAACAAAGTATCTTTCAAACGTTATTAAATAGAAGGTTTTCCTTAGCCACCTCCTTTGAGATCATCTTGGGATCCAAATGAAGATGTCTGATCAAAACTAAATTTTAAACTAAATGTTATATAACAAAGACATGTAATATGTTTCGGAAACCTAAGGCTGGTGCAGCAATAGCTTCTCCAGTGAAAGACAGGCACTCCTTCAGAAGGGAGCTTTTTTCCAAAGGACCATAAGAGAGAGGACATACAGTGCTGCAATTTCAAAGCCTCACCTATAGCCATTCAGACCAGAGGTTTTTCATATACTTAATAAGGAAAATCTAGTTGATGGTAAGCAGGTGGTTCATTTAGGAGTATAATCCTTGCCTGGAGTTGAACATCTCATGTGCTGACCTTGTCAGACCTTTGATGTGATCTGTGATGAGCAATGGCTTATGACTCGGCAGCTACAAAGGCAATATTATACCCATGAATAGCAATCAGTCATCTTTAAACAAATATCTTGTGCATCCAGATTTAGAGGTGAGTTGCTTCTCTGAGAACATTAGAGAAAATTAGCAGCTGAAATAGCAGGGTGGCCTCCATAGTTTAAGTACAAATAACATGCAGAAAGTCAATCTAATGTTCATTCTGGACCATTGCATATTCACTGTGTGAGAAAGTTTTGTACAGTGGGGAGCATATCTAGAAGGCAAATTTCCAAAATTTCAGAGTACACGTCCTGTTAGTTAACTTCAGCAGCTCTTTCAGTGGTGTCTCTGAACAACCTCCCCTTTCTCCCCCCCCACCCCCCCAAAAAAAAAAAAACCCGCAAACCTCACTCCCACAGACATGGCCATATGGGATCAGACCAGTGGTCCATTGAGTCCAATATCCTGACAGTAGCATTGGCCAGTATCAGCTGTTCCAGAAGAATGTGAAAGAAACTACATAGCAGGGAATTATAATAATCATTACAAAGTTCTAGTGATCTCAGCCACCTTATTGTTTCTCCAGAATGGTCGATAGGAGCCCTACAACCAAGCACAATAGAAATGTGGGTACCAGCTCTAGTGGTATTCTGTATGTAGCACATCAGACTCTCCCTTTGAGTATCAGATGCCAAGATTAATCAGTGAGAGCCTCTGACCTGCTCTCATTACCTCTAATAGGTAGTTTTTGGAATTGGTTCCTGTCTCTACAAGAACCACACTGTGGTTGTCAAAAGTATAAAATTACTCTTGTAGCTTCAGGAAATTTTCTATTCAAGTAGGTTCCTTTTTCCACTATTCCTGGAAAATAGTTCTTCCATCATTTTGTTCTAACCATTAGTACTCCTTTGGAAGAGTATGACATAAATGGGCTTTCATGGAACTTAAAAGATATATTTCAAACATATTGAGTTCACATGCCAGGTGTCTCTTTCAGTCCAAAATGCTAAGGCCTTAGGGCCTCAGAATTGCTGCAGGCAAGTGGTTAAAATCATGAACCAGCTAGTACGCTAAGCAACCGGCAGAACTTATTCACAGGTCATGAGCCTAGTCTGAGGATGATTTTACAAGTAAGTGTTTCCATTCCTTTGTTTCCTTTGGTAGGAAGGTACTGCTGAGTTGTTTCCCACATACTGTCTCGTCATTCCTGCCTGTTGTTCTGCTATATCAATTAAAACACTGCTTGTTCTGCCCCACACTTTTGTGATTCACTGCTCGCTACTTCTGTTAGTAATGAATGAGGAGAGAAGTTGAGCAACAGAATATGTAATTTACCTGATAAATGTCTTTCTGTTGCGTAGCTTTTCTCCTCATTCAGTCCACTTGGATAGTCTAGTAAATGACCAGGCTAAAAATGGAAATCTTTTTCTAAAGGAAAATGTAGACATATTCTCTTAAGGTTAATTAATGCATTATATCAGGTTGTCTTGATGCTAATAATTGGTTGCTACAGTGTTTCTTCAGCTTTGGAAGAATTTTTCTGGTGGCCTAAGATGAAGGGCAGGGCGTAGTCCTTGAGCCTCCAGCAAAAACACTGGACTGCCTCTTAATTTCTATAGCTGGAGGTCAGGGTGGATTGATTTAAATAATTTAAATCAGCAAGCAGGAGATCTTGATTTAAATAATTCATTTTTGTTTTGCTTTGTATTTTTTAGTAATTTTCCTAAAGAGAGGTTCATTCCCATTGATTGATAACCATTAAAACATGTTGATTTGCAATTTAATATAGCCTTTTCAACAAATGTGGTACTTCTTTTTGCTAACCAGGAGGATACTCTGCCTAAATACATTTATTTAAGCAGTTATATAACTTAACGTATATTTATTCAGATTCTTTATTTTTATGTTTTGTATTACGTTGGAAAACAGTGAATGATGCATTTCCTATTTACTACATAATAATTAATTTGTATTTGTGATTTGTATCAACCTCTGTTTGGATGGAAATTAAAATTCAATTGAAAATTAACAAAACCAGAATTTTAAAATGGTATTTTATTAATTACATAAAACTACCTTAAATATGAAGAATACATAAAAAACAAAGTTTATCAAAACATGTTTTGCAGTTGAAGAAATTGATGTGTTAAACAAAGGAGGTATAATCTATAGTTAGTGAATTGAACTGATTGTTTCTCGTTACCATGTCCTTCAAGGTTTAAGTAGTAGTAGATCTTATCCTCTCACCTAGTTTTTATTCATAGGTTGAAAGAGGAAGACGAGTTTTGCTGCTTTTCAGTTCCCAATCAATTTCTCAGCTTGGAATGAACTAGTTATTGAAATAAACTTGTTGAATCAATCAAAATGAAGAAAATACTTCTGCACCTGCAGAAGAGGCTACTGCTGTCAAAAGCTGGTTTAGCATTTCGGCAAACTCTGGTTCCAGGTGCTTACCCAGTGATTTAGACTTGACTTACTTTCTTTAAAACTTCAGCGGCAAATATTTACTGCTTAAATATTTTTTTAAAATTTAATGGTTTTACTAGATTATAGTAAGTTTGGGCTTTAATATATGTTGTAATTTTAAATATGTTTATTTTTTAAAAGAAAAATTGATTTAATTTAAACAAAAATCCAATTAAAAAAACGGATTTAACTTTAAAAAACCATTTTTTAAAATCAAAAATTTTATCCACCCTGGTTGGGGTAGCATTTACCCATTAGCGATTAATGAAGAGGGAAGCTGCTAACATAAGATTACCATATAAGAAATTTCTGATTTTTCTTTGGTTGTACTTTTCAATAAGAAAAATACTTTACATTTGTATATTTAAACAGTGCTTCATAAACTGTTAAAGAAAACAGACTATTTGATACACACACACACATACATACACACACACACATTGACTATAGCAGAGCTATAGCACTGTGCTATACTTTATATATAATATAAAAAAATAAAATGTTTGTAGACCTACCATCATAGTAATGGTCTGTTTTGGGTAAATAATTTTGTTTAGAAATGAATAAGTTCTAATTGAAATTGTAAAAAGAAAAGGAGTACTTGTGGCACCTTAGAGACTAACCAATTTATTTGAGCATGAGCTTTCGTGAGCTACAGCTCAGTGAGCTGTAGCTCACGAAAGCTCATGCTCAAATAAATTGGTTAGTCTCTAAGGTGCCACAAGTACTCCTTTTCTTTTTGCGAATACAGACTAACACGGCTGTTCCTCTGAAAATTGAAATTGTGTTTATCCTTGTAAATAAACAAGTCTAGCAAATAGGGAAAAGTTTATTTGCTTTTATATTACTTGTATGGAGATCATTCACCTCTTGGCACACAGGACAGGGGTCACATTTGGTATTTTATTGCAAATCTAGCAGAAATTATTTTTAATGGCACACCTTTCAAGTCTGAGAGTAATTCAGTTTTCTAGAAATTAATAAAATGGCCTAATTTATATTACCTTCTGAGGTAGGGCAAAAAGTATCAAACTTGTAAGCTTCTTTATAACTTGGTATTCTAAAACACAAATTTGTCAAACTTAACAAAATCATGAATATAAAGTAGAAATGTTAATGCTTTCTTCAAGGATTATAAGTGTATTCTGTCCCATGTAGTTTTGTTACCTGAAAAGTTACCATGTAAATTTTTCTGTTGTGCAGGGGAACGTCCATTTCAGTGTACACTGTGTGATAAAGCTTTTAACCAGAAGAGTGCCCTTCAGGTGCACATGAAAAAGCACACAGGAGAGAGGCCTTACAAATGTGATTACTGTGCAATGGGCTTTACACAGAAAAGCAATATGAAACTCCATATGAAACGAGCTCATGGTTATGCTGGTAGGTAACGTGATTTGTAGTAATGTTAAGCACACATTTTTTGAAGCAGAGATCAGTGAGTCGCTTCAGTATCCCCTTTCCTCTGTACTGTAGGTGGGGACGATCTAAAACATAGAATGTAGATGATACACAGTTCTAGTGAAATGGTCCATTCCCTTTGATTTTTTTTTTCCATTTCAAGGGGATGTTCTGATTTATGAACCAAAATAATTTGTGCATATTCCTCATTCCTTGTTTTTGTTGTATTTGCAATAGTCTTATGTTATCTGTATTGGTCATTCCTTTCTTTCTCTGTTGTATTACAATAGGTACTATACAAGAATCTGCCAGTCAACAAGAAGGGGAAGATATTAATCGTGCTTTGAATTTAGAAGAAGTTGTTCAAGAATCTTCAAATGAATGGCAGAGTATAAGCAATGTTTTTCGATGACACCTTAGTTGAAAGCTTTGCTTTCAGGACTTGAATTTCTCAACATATGTTTTGAAAAAAGTAAAGCATATGGATTTTACAGTTGATGCTTCAAGCATTGAAAATATTAACAATAGAATAATATATTATAGTTTTTTTAATTATTTACAAAAAGTACTTAAAAAGAATCATTGTTTTTGTAAGCTTGTTGGAAAATATTGAAAAAACATCAATTAATCTGTGTTAAGTTGTCTACAAATCAGTGAACTCAGGTAATACTACGTGCGGTTTCATCTTCTAATCCACAGCCAGTATATCTAGTTGAACAATTAACTGGAACGTCATATCAGGAAAAAGTGATTCCCTTGCATTAGTAAAGAAGATGAAAAGTAACTTCATGGGAAAACCATGAAAATTGTCATTTGCTTTTTTATTTTATTTTTTTAATGTATAGCAAAAACATTTGAGGTTAGAAAGAAAAGTGTTACAATAGAGATGCATGCAGTACAGAATTGATTTTTACAATGCAAAGTAAAATGTTAAATTTCTGTTCTTAGTTTCTTTTGGTGCATTTGAGGAATTTTGGAAAGTGAATTCCCTTGCATTAAATGGTATTTATGTAGCTAATCTCTTGAGAGGTGACCAGGCTATTTCCATTCCAGTTGTAGAGACAGTTATTAGTTTTTTTTCCATCAAAATGTCTGAGGCTTCAAACTCAGCAATAAATATTCAAAGAAAATCCAAACTAAAAGAGATTAAACTGGTTGAACACCCCTGTTTTTAGGTTAGCCATAAGGATCAACAGGCAGATACTTGAGTATTTGTGGAAAGCACAAGCCATATACTAAAGTTGGGAGGTTACCTAAATTAGTACATTTTAATAGTAGACTGGAAGTAAGCTGCAGTACAGGTCACCTCAGTTAACGTAAAAGTAATCTGTACTGTAGACATTTATAGTTCCAAATCTGTAAAAGCATCATTATTTTCTTTTGCATCAACTCTGAAAGCATTTTACTGTGGTGTTTTTTTGTTTGTTTTTTAATTATTTTTTCAGTAAAACTACCTAGTTAACTTAAGGTACATCTACAGCTACGGCAGTGTGTAGAGTACAGGGGTATAAATAGCAGTGTAGATGGTGAGGCAGGGCTTAGGTGGGTAGAGTAGAGTGCCCACATATCTCAGCCCTCAGGGTATATATCCAACACACCTCTCTGCATTTCCAAGCAGGGCCTCCCATGTCTATGCTGCTAATTTCTGCAGTGTAGTGTCCCGCTGCCTCTCTACTGCCAGAGCCTTTTCGTTACTGCCTGCACACAGCAGTATGTAGCTACTCACTTTAGTGACATGGCATGCCACCTGCCTTTTGCCATGGCATGTAGCTACAGGTGTAGTGCCTTTACTCTACTTGCCGCTGTAAGTGTAGACATAGCCTTAGTACTGCTCTAAAAGGTGCCACTTTTAAGTGTATTCATAACAAAGAAACACTGGAGTAAAACTTAAGTCATGTTTTAGACATTCCAAAGACAGAAAGCTCTTTGCTTACTTTTACTTTTTGTTCCTTTGAATTTATTTATATGTTATATATATATATATATATATATATATGTGTGTGTGTGTGTGTGTATGTATATATACAAATATATGGGCCTCTGTGTGGCTGATCAGTATATTTTGTAAATAGTAATCCCAATTGCAGGAAGATTTCATCAAGTTTTCGAGTTCATATGAGTACTTCTAGATCAGTATTGGATTCATTGTAATGTAAAATAGAGTTGGGTTTTATTTTACCATTTAAAAAATAATCGCCTTTTATTTGCTCTAGGATACAAAAAACACTTTTTTCCCCTTTTGGTAAATATTATCTATATTTTGTCTGCTATAAGACCTAGTCATTTTAGATTCCTGAAGAAAGAAATCACTGTTGTTTTTGATAGGGAATCTCTTATTTCTTTAACTCTTTGCATATGTATATAAGTAATATAGCTGGTGACATAAAAATAACATTTTTGTTATGTGGAAATATTTAAGTCAGAAATGTTAATAATATTAATTTTTTCCAACTTTCCTTTGTGTATGTTATTTTTAAAAGACAATTTTAAATGGATATTCTTAGTTATTTCAAGGAAACTGTGGATGACTAAAATTATGCAGCTCAATGTTGAACATAAAGGACTGACGTTCTCCTTTCATTTCAGCAGTGTATCTCATTCCAGACAAGTTGTTTGGCTGTGCAAACCTGGTTACACTTATTGGTAACTTATGGAGAATGACAGCCTTTTGCTGGGAACCAAGAGGTTGCTAATAAGCAGAATTCACTGTACACGGAAAGTAGATCTTTTCAGTAAGGAGGTGCCATTTGAAATACATAATCATTTTTCCAAGAGGGCCATGCTTTAAGACTCTTGATCACATACCAATCAGGTAATGAGTGGATATTTGTAAGTATAATAAGTAACAAGTAAACAGGGAGACTTGCCTTTTTTTCCCCGAGTTCTCAACCCACCACAATAGGGAGAGTTCTGCCAATTATGGTAAATATCCTTTTTGAACATTTTAATAAGATACAGTATGTACTTTAAAATCATGCCTTGAATGTCTTCTGCCTGACACAAAGGTATTTAATATCCTTCCTTTAAACATAGGAGCTGCTCCAGAATACTTGGATAAGTTTGAACTGGAAACCTTCAAATGCATGATATCTGCTGATGCTCTGTAGAAGTGAAGAGGTTGTGACAATTACATTGGTGTCCAGGACAAGATCAGGTTGTTTAGGAACTTTCTTGGTAAAATAAAGAAATGGAATGTGGAGCATGCCCTAACAGCATCACATTTGAGAAAGATAACATCAAAAATAAACTCTGCTGTGCCCTAGAAACCCTAGTCCATCTTGCTTTGGCAACTGGGCATTTGCTCTCTGAGTAAGAGCATCATATACCATTGATAGCTGAGATGTAGTTATTAGCAATAAATCAATTTAATTTTGCCTTGACCTATTTTTTCTCTTGTATTTTAAGTTTCTTTTTTTAAAAAACTGTTGTGAACACCATTTTATGGCTGTGCCTTGATTGGCTACTGCAGCCCATTTATGATATTTTGTATTTTCTCTGCCCAACCTGGAAGAGCCTTGTATGAGAGACATTGTGAATCTTTTACTGGAATACATAGTGGTAACCTCAAAAGAAGAAACTCTCAAATCCTCCTTCACATAAACAGGAGAAGATCACTAGGAAAAAAAAAATCATATCATGAATCCTGCAATTTTTGATTTTCTGTCTTTTTAGATTGTAGATATAAACCATTACAATGTAAATAGGTTGGCTTCTAGCAGAAAACTATTTTCAGCCAAATAGTATCCAGCAGAGGAGAGAACTCATCCCTTCCTTAGTTTATCACCCTATGTGGTGTGAGCTTAAAGTCCTAATTGTGATTTAAATGCCAACTTCAATCCAAATCATACCACCTGGATTTGTGCATGGAGGGCTGCCTTTGGATCTTTCCACTTCCACAGAGCAGAGGGGACTGAGCTGCCTCCCCAGAACCCGGCAGTGATTCTAATGTATCTGAGGTTTATACTGGAGGGGGTTGGAGACTGTACTGGCTGTGGGGCTGAGTGGCCAGGTTGTGAAATTTCGCAGAAAACGTAGTATAGCCCAAGGATGTATTTTCCATGGAGCCTCCTGACCATGGCAGTATGGAAGAAGTTTGTGATGATAGATGTCAGAGCAGCCAATCTGTGGGAGGGGAGTCCCTCTAATTTTTCTGTGAGGGACAAATCAATCCAAAATGACACAGTAGCTTTAAGCACTAAAACAACTGCCTAATGGCTGTGCTCAGAGTGAGTGCGAGTTCCCAGAAACAGCACTTTTTTTGTAGGAGGATCGAAGCTCCAGCTCTTCTGTAATAACCAACAAAATACGACTTAGAATCTTCTGTGCCTAGTGGCACATGAGGTGACCCATTTTTCCCACTGCTGTCTATAAGTTGTTTCCATGATAGCAACATCCTTTTCAGTTGTCCTGGGATAGGTCATTCCTTCTCCCCCATGCCTTCTTTTTTCCATCCAGTTGGAATGCAATCTAAGATGTAGCTTGTGCTTCTCCCATGGAGTAGCCTGATGACATGGGCAAACCACCAGAGTGTTTTCTAGCTGATTTATTAAGTCCGCAGTCTGCTGACCTGTGCAGTGCAATGCTGCCACGTTGGTTATACAATTGCTCCAATGAATTCCAAAATCCTTCTCAAACAATGCTGGTGAAATGCATTCAGCTTCCTGTTGTGTACTTCTGACACATTTTCGAGGAATACAGTAATGTTGAAAGGACAATACCATTGTACAATTTCACTTCAAGATGTAGTTGTACCCTGCTACTGTTCCAGGTGTTTGGCAAACAAGTAATTGATCCACTGGCTTTGCCAATTCTTGCCCTCAATTCTTTAATGAGCTGACCATTAGCAGAAATACTTTACTTCCTAGATCTTTTAAAAAAAAGTTGTAAACCCTTTTGTACTCTTCTCCATCACTCACTCACACATCTGTCAGTGTTGACCATATTCTCTCTTATCTCCATACTCTTGGTCTCAAACTCCCACTTCGGTAGCTTCCACTTTTATACTCTCAGTTTTTTTCATTTCCTCAAAGCTGGTATTCAGTATGACTGTCATCTGAAAAAATCTAGCTCCTGCAGCTCATCTCTTGTCCAAACAATGACAGTGGCCTCAAAAGCAGCTGTCACTTTTCTCATCTCAAAGTCTATGGCAATGCAGAAGAGAAGCGGGGATAGTGCTGACCCTTGCTTTACACCAGTAAGAGTCTTAAGCCATTTTTTGTCCTGACAGCATGCAGACTCATTCTACCAAGCTTTTATCCGATTAACTGTCTTTGCTCAAATTCCATAGCATTTCAGGATCTTCCAGAGTGCTTGTCCGTGGACACTGTCAAACGCTTCTGTAAAATCAGTGAAGTTAAAAACCATCTTCTGCCAGTATTCTAAACCTTGCTCAATAAGTCTTGTCAAGGGGAAAATTTGATCTGAACATGACCTATCAGATTAAATTCCAGACTTCTTATCTCTGAGTAGTTTGTCAACAGCAGTTTTCATCCTATTTAAAATGATAATGCAAAACACTTTTCCAGGTACAGATTGGAGTGTCATCTATCTCCTGTTATCACAAATAAATTAATCCACCTTTTTAGGGATTTCACAGATAACACCTCTTCTCCGGTCAGGATAGGTCTTCTTTTCCGAAACCATTCTGTACAACCTGGATATGTAACTCAAATTCATTTCTTTTTGAGCTTTTAGCATTTAGCATGTTTCTTATCACAGCCTGGTGTTTTACCACTCCTTACTTGGTTCATGGCCTTAGTTACTTCCTCAAAAGCAACTGCTCTTAGTGATATTGGTAAGTCCACTATTTCTTCACATCTTTGTGTGTATTAGTGGTTCTGGATGGTTGAGTACAGCCTAGAAATGTTTCATCCTCTGTGGCTAAAATTGTTCCTCTCATTAGGATATTAGAAAAAGTTTTTTAAAAACCCCTCACTAGCATGCCTCCTGAGCTTCTCTTGCTTTGTTTTCTGTCCCTTTCTTATTTCTTCTGGCTGATCTTCTGACTTACTTGTCTTTGTCCCCATGTTCTTGCTGTAGAACAGCAGTTTTAGTTCTGTCTCGTTGAATTCTCTTCTTTAATATTTCCATTCTTCTTTCTTAGATCTTCTCCCCCTTACTGTAGTCCAGGCTGCATTCACACTTACTTCTTTAAAAAACTGCCATTGTTCTTCTCTGCTCCTTGGTGGCTCGAACTCATGGACAATGCAGTGTCTTTCTTGGGCCTCGAGCAAGACCTTCTGGCATGCTTACTCACATGCTTCCTTGCCTCATGGCTAGTCCCCGGCACAGGGTCTGTAGCACTGGAGCTCCACTGTAGGAGGTGCGTGCCTTGATTTGCTCAGGCCAGTGTATGATGAGGGGGTGAGGGTTGTCCCCGGCCTGGTTACGACAGCGGACCATGCAGTGATGCTGTTAAAAGGTGACAGAGCTCAGCCTTCCAAGGTACGGGCAGGGAAGGAGAGGCAGATACTGCACTTGGTCACAAGCTGGGCTCCCTCCAAGCAGTATAGGCAGTGCTGGTGGTCATCACTGATCGAAAATGAGCAAGGGCAGGAAGCGCAAATCTTGAACCCTGTTGTCTTTGTCCTAATCCAGTACCTTGGCCTGGGTGCTAGGTGGGGAGGGCTGGTGGGAAACCACCGAAGCGGTGTTCCCGAACTCCTTAAATCCTAGGGGAAACTGCTTCTAACAGTAAAAACAAAATGCTATCTATGTACAAGAACAGTCTTCTATGCAAAGTTTGTGAAGTGCGTCACAGGGGATGAAAGAACAGCAGAAGCTTCGACTCGGACCATGCAGCAGTGAGAAGGAACTGAGAGCACAGTCAGTCCACGCCGCCATTAATCGCTTTGGTTGATATCATGAGGCGAAACAAGGGTGCATGTGCGGATCACCAGACACTACTACTTTTAAAAAGCTCTGGCTCTCTGCTTATGCGCATACCGCTCAGTGGAATACAATAGGGACCATCACTTGAAGAAGAACTACTAGTTTTTGAGTATCATGCGTACTGTCTGCCTTATTTGGTAGTACCTTCTTTAGTTTTATTTTGATTCTCCCAATCACAAGATGGTTGTCACTTAAAACATCAGCACTCGTATATACCCTGGTGTTCAACAGTGATCTTCTGCGGTGCCTATTAATGGCAGTGTGGTCTTTCTGGGTGAAGCTATCATTTGATCTCCTTGTCAATTGATGGAGAATCAAAACCCCAAGGAAGTTCTTTGTCCGAAATGGGATATCTTCACAGCCAAGGTTAAGACAAGAATTGGGAGTTGGCATGGTAGCTTATTTTGCAGCATGGTAGACTATTTCAGAGAAAAGAAATTCTTTGGCTTAAGTCTACTTTGACTGAAACGATATGAGATGGACTAGACAAGGTAAAGTACCATTGGGAGGTGTGTCTTTTTTTAATTCTGGAAGAGAGGATGGCAAGCAGCTGGAAGATTTAGGCTTATTATTGAGCAAGGAAGCTACTAAAGCACCGAAGAAGTGGGAACCTGTAAACTCAGACAAACTGACTACTTGTTTTGTGATAGTTCAGTGTTATGTGCAATAAATTATAGTGATGAACAAGTCAAACACTGTTTCTGTGAAAGATTGCAGAGTGGCCTTGGCAAGATCAATAAATATTATAGTTATTCTTATGGGAGATCTAAATGCACCAATTGAGAATGATAATACTAGATATGAGCATGTTCTTGTCAGACATGGTATCCCATGACAGACCAACAATGGGGAAAATTTTGTTGAACACTGTTGCCTATAAAATCTTTGTATTTTGGAAAAAATATTGCCACACAAGGAAAGACACAAACTATAGTTGCCAAACTATAATGGCCTGATTTTCAAAAGTTCTGAACACCTGTAGCTCCAATTGATTTTAGGGGGATTTGCAGGCACTGAGCACTTTTGAAAATCAGGTCATGAAGAAGCAGGAGAGCATGCCAACGCTGAAATAATGAAACAGATTAAATGAAATAAATTGAGAGGTGAGAAAGAACAATCAGCTTAAGGATATTGATATACCACTGTGTGCAGTCTTTTCTTTTTTTAAGAAAACTTTTGCGACCTCATTAGGTCAAGCAACTTCTATAGCATTACATTAGTTTCCCTGGATTTAGTTCTGACTTTGAGAATTGTCAGATGGACTGTCATCATTGCTGATCCCCTCACAGAGCATCATTAATCTAAAAGTTATTTAGATAGATACAAGGAGAATTTCCATCACAAGAAATGTTTGGCAATTTCCAGGTAGTGATTCTTGGAGTGTCATGGAACTGAGGATCCTCCCTCTCTCACTACCTGCTGCTCTTTGGTAGTCTTGTCTCATGCATACAGATTAATCTATAGGCTAGACTGCATGTGGCAGTGCTTCAGAAATTCCTTGGAACCATTTTCAACAGGAGATGCAAAGGAAAGTGAAAATAGTATCTAGAGTAATTTAGTCCATCTGTTGGCTGAGGGACTCAATCCCAGATCACTTGAAGCATGTTAGATGCAAATCATAGAATCATAGAATATCACGGTTGGAAGGGACCTCAGGAGGTCATCTAGTCCAACCCCCTGCTCAAAGCAGGACCAGTCCCCAACTAAATCATCCCAGCCAGAGCTCTGTCAAGCCTGACCTTAAAAACCTCTAAGGGAGGAGATTCTACCACCTCCCTAGGTAACGCATTCCAGTATTTCACCATCCTCCTAGTGAAAAAGTTTTTCCTAATATCCAACCTAAACCTCCCCCACTTCAACTTGAGACCATTACTCCTTGTCCTGTCATCTTCTACCACTGAGAATAGTCTAGAACCATCCTCTTTGGAACCACCTTTCAGGTAGTTGAAAGCAGCTATCAAATCCCCCCTCATTCTTCTCTTCTGCAGACTAAACAATCCCAGTTGCCTCAAGTCATAAGTTGACTCATAAGTCAAGTGTTCCAGACCCCTAATAACTTTTGTTGCCCTTCACTGGACTCTCTCCAATTTATCCACATCCTTCTTGTAGTGTGGGGCCCAAAACTGGACACAGTACTCCAGATGAGGCCTCACCAATGTCGAATAGAGGGGAACGATCACGTCCCTTGATCTGCTGGCTATGCCCCTACTTATACATCCCAAAATGCCATTGGCCTTCTTGGCAACAAGGGCACACTGTTGACTCATATCCAGCTTCTCGTCCGCTATCACCCTTAGGTCCTTTTCCGCAGAACTGCTGCCTAGCCATTCGGTCCCTAGTCTGTAGCGGTGCATTGGATTCTTCCGTCCTAAGTGCAGGACCCTGCACTTATCCTTGTTGAACCTCATCAGATTTCTTTTGGCCCAATCCTCCAATTTGTCTAGGTCCCTCTGTATCCTATCCCTGCCCTCCAGCATATCTACCACTCCTCCTAGTTTAGTATCATCCGCAAATTTGCTGAGAGTGCAATCCACACGATCCTCCAGATCATTTAGGAAGATATTGAACAAAACCGGCCCCAGGACCAATTCTTGGGGCACTCCACTTGATACCGGCTGCCAACTAGACATGGACCCATTGGTAACTACCCGTGTGTACTACTACTACAAATAGACTGCCCAAAGAGTCAGAACTCCTTCAGCATACTCCATCACAACTTCCTGGGCAGAAGGGGTGCTAGCCACCACAGAGGAAATCTTACAAAATTGTCACCCATCAATTACTTATGAAGTACTGCAAACTTGACTTTCACCCCGCTCAAGCCCACTGACAGGAATTCTGGGCCCCAGGGCTGTCCTTGAGGGAGCGGAGCCCAGGTCGGAAGTGATGAATCCGTCACTTCTGGGGTTGGCCCACGAGGCCCTCGAGCAGTCGCACACATCTAGGAGCCCTGCAGCCCTCACAGGTGATTTAAAAGGGCCCGAGGCTTTTAAATTGCCCTGGCCCCTGGGCAATTGCCCCCTTTGCCGCCTCATCGGCAGGCCTGACTTTGCTGCAGAAGCATCTTTTGGCTGAAAGGGGCCCAAGCAGTAATATAATGTACCTATGCTACTCATATTAGGGAAAGCAGAAACCATTTATCTTGTTTATCCCTACTTTCCTATTTTTTCCTTATTGCTCATTATGATTGTCTCAGGGTAAGTCTACACGAGTATGATACATCCGCACAGCCGCAGCATGTCTAGTGAAGACGTGCTATGCTGACAAGAGAGCACTCTCCCATTGGCATAATTACTCCACCTCCGCAGGGGGCAGAAGGTGTGTCAGTGGGAGAGCATCCGCTGCTGACATAGCGCAGTGTGGACACCACTTAAGTGAATGTACCTTAAGGTGTGTGTCTTTTTCATACCCCTGAGCATCATAAGTTACAGTGACGTAAGCAGTAGTGTAGACCAGCCCTCAGACTGAGGAAGAAGTCGGGATTCAGAAGGAAAAATTTATTGTCTAGTGAATTCCTTTCTGGGACCTCTTCCCAGTCTGCCCTACCTGAGACATATTCTCTGATAATCAGTATAATGGCCTTTTAAGAGTCTGTATGTATAGTTAACACAGTTAAGAAAGATAGAATTGGGCTGTACTTAAGGTTTAATTTAATAAATTGTTTATAAAGGATAGTAAATGATTGATACATGTTATAAGCATGCTACAGACATCAGATGCATTATACGTGTTATAAACACACCTGTATAAGATATTAGATAGTTATAAGTAACCTCTTGAACTCTAAAATAATCCATAACAATTGATTAAATATATATCAAAACATCTATTAACTATCAACTGTTTATAAACAGAACTTTAATAATAATGGTCATACTTTATAGTAAAGAAGCTTATATTTAGCTAATAATAAGAATTCAGTGTTTTCATACAGCTTTGGAAATACGCTAGAATGAGGGCAGAAAAAATAACGTGCCTAAACCCTAGTGTCTTGTGGACAAGTCTGAACTGCTTCTGGTATTTGCAGGAAGAGACCCACAGCCTAAATGCATTGGAAATCATCAGGTAACAATTTTTCCATAACCTTTATTATGTCAGGAAATGTTTAATTCACTATTAACCTGAATCTCATAATTTGTCATCAGTGATATCTAGTGATATTCTATGACTCACAGCACAGTCTCTACCATCTTTTCTAATACATAAAATGCAGTGCTCCAGTCAACTAAA